CAAATCAGCCCCAGGAGTTGGTTCATGAATCAGCTTTACAGAAAATACAAAGGTATGTGAAACTATAAAAGAAAAATGAAAAAGCACTTCTTAAACAGTAATTATCATTTGGGAGCAATTTGTCCCTTTTCAGTAAGTCCCTTGAAGGATGGGATTATTTGCGTTTTCATTTATCTTTTTGTCCCCTATAAACAATGTCTAATTTCATGATTTGAACATGGTAGGAGCTCAAGAAATACTTACTGAATAACAAATATTTGTTCATTACAAAACTTCAGTAAGTATTTAATAGTGAAAAACAAAAAAATCTTAATGTTCAAAAATACGGAACTATTTAATAATGTTTTAATGTCCTTGAAATTATGCTGTGGAGGAATACAAAACATAATATATAGTGATGTATAAATTTCAATACATATTATAGATGACAAAGGCAGGTTACTAAGCAATACAAAATGTTCTATTAATTATGGAATGCTAAAAGATACATAGCAGCATGTTATGTTGGCTATCTCTGGTCAAATTACAAGTCATTTTTATTTTCTTCCTTGGGACTTTCCTGTAGTTTCTGAATTGTATTCCTTTGTAACCGAATTTGAAAAAAAATTATTGAAAGTAAAAGAAGAAAATAAATCAAGTTTGAATTACAAACTGAAGCTTTTAGCAGAACACAGTTGAGTCTATGCCATAGACACAAGTCATTTCCTTCTTTTCAGTGGCATTCATATCACTGCCACACATTTTTTCCCAACTGAGATGACACAATGGAAAGACCATTCCTACACCAAGCCCTGAGACTTAGGAAAATGGAATGTCAGTGTGAGCATCTGCAGATCAGGAAATCAAGTCACGGAGCAGGAGCAGTGTAGGAGTCCAGGCTTACGTCATTTGCTAATCAGTTACTGTACTTTTAAATTACGCCCACTGTAATACACTCTCTCTGTTCCTTAGCCTCTGTGAAGGCATTCTGAGCAGATGTCCTTTAAATGGACAAAGGAGGATCGATTACTCCAAATTACCTCAGATTAGATCTTAGTCAGACTCCCTCCCCAGAGTAGAAGTAGCTTCCCTATTGGATTCAGATTTAGGTTGGGGACCTACCCAGGGGTGCCAGGCTCTTAGCAAAGACTCAAGAGCATTATTAACATCAAGCAGCCCTTATTTGCCCTTATCCCCTTCATCTTTCCTTGAATTCCAGGTTCTGCTTATCTCTCTCTGAAATCCTTAGAAAAATTCCTTTTAAAACAAATAGGCGCTATTTCCTCTGTTTCCCACCCAAGTGGTAAACAATCTCTATTCAAATGTGTACCGACTGAGCTCAGAACCTGCATGCAGACCTAGCTCACTGCTGCAGGGCAGATTGCCAGACCGATCCTCTCCCCTGCTCACCTCCTGGGCCCTGCTTCTCTGATACAAGGACCACTAGACAAAATGTAAAGTATTCTCATAGTCCTATGACCTTATAGTTCATTGTCTGTTTTTCCTCTCATCCCCCAATGAAATATCACCCTAAACTCTCATGTCAGAGCATTCGACAAGAGCTTTTCAAAAGATAATAGAAGCAATGACAAGCTGTAGCTCAGGCTCCAGTCATGTTTTCCACACGGATTACCAGGTTTTATTTATAATCATGTTAAAGAGTGTCCTAACTCTTCTCCTGTTATTTTGTCTGATGATGGTAGTTGCCAAGGAAGAGAACTGCAACATTAAGGACAGAGCAAGGAATGGAAACACAGAAGGCTAGCTTAGGATCTGGGGAACATAGGCAAATGGTAATTGAATACAGTAGCAGAATCAGACTGTGCAAAAAGAGAAACAGGACAAAGCATCAAGTTAAAAGGGAGCAAACAGGACAAGAACAACTAAATCTAAGTGACAGAGGAACAGAACATGAGTGCATGTGCTTGGGGAAAGCACACCCCCAGGAGCATACAGGAATCACAGGAGAGGCTTTTGCAAATTGTGTAGACCCTCCCTTCCCCAGAATTTCATGTTTCTTGAGGAATACCACCAGCTACCCTCCACCATTTAAAATGACTAGGAAGAAAGGGAATTTAAAGAGACATTAAAGGAAACTAATAATTACCAAATAATTATGACATTCCAGGTATCATATTAGGTATAATCATTTCAACTACCATATAAAATGTGGTTCTTTTTTTTTTTATTACCTTATGAGAGAACTGCAGTTTATGGAGTTTAAATCACTTGCCCATGGTCAATGAACTAGTAGGGAAGCACTAAGAATTTAAAATCAAGTTGTGGGACTGAAAAGCCAAGAGAGAATTCATTCCTTCTTATGCAATAACTTCTCTCCCTGTTGATATGCCGACACCAGATTCTCTAGATGCTCCTTCCTCAATATCGCTTCAGTCCGTCCTCTCCTGGGGAATCCTAACTACCCCGACCTCATGGCCTACCAAGTTTTCCCCAAACTGCCTCTTAACTGACTTTCCTTTCCTCAATCCCTCCCTCCTTCTTTCCCTAGCTCCTCCCTTCTTGCCATTCTTTTTCTTTCTTTCCTTCTTTATTTCAACATAAATCTGAACAACTCCAGCCAGCTCAAAGTCTTCAGTGACCTCCCAGTGGCCTGAGATTCAGGCCTTGATCGCAAATCGGGCACTGACTACCCACTGACTGTTTCTTTCACCCTCCCCCTCCCACTGTCTACGCTCCAGCCCTATGAGAGCTCTTTAATTCCCCAACACTCTAAGCTGTATCCCACCCAGGTAGGGCTTTTCCACATGCTGCTTCTTCACCGTGGAACATTCCCTCCTTCTCTCTGCTTAGCTCACAAATTCCCAAACTTTTTGGATCCAGGAGTCTTTTATATTTTCTTAACACATTAAGGACTCCAAAGAGCTTTTTTTAAAAATGTGTATTCTATCTATGTAATATCCATATTAAAACATATAAATTAAGTTTATATGTTTTAAATTAAAAACATAAATTTTATAATATTTAAATCATCTAAAAATAACACAGTAAACTGATTGCACCTTAAGATAAATAACACTTTATGAAAAACAACTACATTTTCCAAAACCAAAAGTACATTAGTGAAAAGACTAACATTGTTCTACATTTTTGCAAATTTTTTTAACATCTGACTTAATAGAAGACAGATGGATTCTCATGTCTGCTTCTGCATTCAATATGTTGTAATATCACACATTATTAGCCTCTGGAAAACTCCACTGTACACTTGTTAGAGAATGAGAATGAAAACAGCTAATTACTTCTTAGTATGAAAATAGGTTTGACTACTGAACCTCCTGAAAGTGTTTTAGGTGGGCACCTCCAAGGATCCCCAGCTATACCTTCAGAACTCCTACTCATTCTTTTTTTTCTTTCCAGCTTTATCGAGGTACAGTTGACAAATAAAATCATAATATATTTAAAGTGTGCATGATGATTTAATGTACACATGCAATTTGATAAGATTTTCAGAACTGAATAACACATCCACCACCTCACATAGTTTACCTTTTTGGGATGTGGAAGATAACAACATTTAAGTTCTACTTTGTTAGGAGATTTTAATTATACAATACAGTATTATCAACTATAGTCACCATGTTACACATTAGATCCTCAGATCTTATTAATCTATGACTGAAAGTCTGTACCCTTTTATCAACCTCTCTTTATTCCACCCCCCCAGCCCCTTGGGAACCACCATCTCATCCTGTTTTTGAGTTTGACTTTTTTGTTTTTTAATTCACATATAAGTGATATCAAGCAATATTTGTCTTTATCTTTCTGGCTTATCTCAACATAGTGGCTTCCAGTTTCATTCATGTTGTTAAAAATGACAGGATTTCCTTCTTATTTTAAGGGGTGAATAATATTCATATGTATGAATGTGTATATATATCTCTTTTCTTTATCAATCCCTCAACTGGTTGTTTCCATACTTTGGCTATTGTGAATAATGTCACACTGAACATGAGAATACAGATATCTCTTAGAGATAATAATTTCATTTGTTTTGGTTAAATTCCCAGAAGTGGGATTGCTGGATCCTAAAGTATTTCTATTTTTAATGTTGGGGGGGAATCCCCCTACTGCTTTCTATAGTGGCTGCACCAGTTACATTCCCACCAACAGTGCGCAAGGGTTCTCTTTTCTCCACATCCTTGTTAGCCTTCCCTTACCTCCAAGAATAGGTTGCACCCTCCTGTATGCTTCTGTAACACCCTCTACATCTCTGTCCAAACACTTATTATACCTGTAAGTTAACCGAAAATTTGCATGAGGACAGAGGCATGAGGACAGAGACAATGTTCGCTCTGACTTCAAGGAGCTTCATTCAGACCTAACTCAACTACCAGTTCCGCCACTTGATAAATGGGTTGCCTTGGGCTAGCCACTTAATCTCCTTATTCTTTATTTCCCTCATCTGTAATGTGAGCAAGACTTAAAAGGTTCCTGGTAAGAACTAAATGAAAGAGTATCTGTAATATACCTAATGGAGAGTCTGGTACCCAATAGGTATTTAATAAATGGAAATGTTTCTGGTGGCAACTCATCTTCCAAAACGGATTTCTTCATATGTAGAAACTATTCTACAGACCAGAATCCAATCATTCAAATGGTATCATTTGGGTAATCGGGTGGGGAGGGTGTGTTTAGGGTTTTCAGAGGGCACAGGAAGGCTGCAGTGGCACTCTTCCTAGAAAGAAACAATATCTCTGGCTCCCTCTGTACTTGGGAAGCACCTGGATATTTTTACATTGTTCCATAATATTGGAGAATAGAACTATACAAGGCACTGTTACACTCCCAAGCAATGCCCATGCTCCAAGGCAGGCTTTCCTGGGGACTCACTCTTACAATCATACTAAGAGTATAAGACTGTTTAAGAAAGGATATTTGGAGCCAACTGTTTGTAACTTGACTGTCTATTCACATGGGCTTATCATGTATCTGAGTGTTATGAGGTTTCCAATGCCACCTCTTACTGAATTTGGCTTGATCTTCTGAGACACGGTGACTGCCTTCAATGGATTACCCGGAGAGAGAAAAATGGATTGGGTTCTTTGATTGTTTTCTCTTGCCACCTCTTTTTGATTACCTCCACCGTTAGCACCACACTAGAGAAGTAAAAGGGGAAGAAAGAAAAGGATAGGTATATCAGCTGGCTTTGCTATATGTTACCAGTCTGGTAAAAACATTTGTAGAGTATTCAAACATGGAATGCAATAAAGTTTGGGAATTACTTGTGTGGATTTAGTTTCCTCAGACTACTCCCAGTATTCCTTAGCAGGAAATATTCATGAGTCAACTATCCAAAATCATACTTCTTATTCAAGATGTGGGTTTACAAGAAAGGTTGATGCCATGGCAAACCTCACTGACTTACTGAGAATGTTCTTCAAGTTCAAGAGCAAAATGTCTGAAATGACTGAAACACATATGGCTTTACAGAGTGTATCAAGAAGACCTGAAAGCTTCCACATAGAAGTGAAAGTCATTATTGACAAAAATAGTGACAGGACACCCCAGAGGACTGAGCAACAAAGAATTTGCCGAGCCCTGTAGCTAACTCCCTGGCCTAGTTTGATCCTAAAATCACTGTCTTGGATAATCTTCCCAAATCTGTTCCTGCACTTAAGAGACACTCAGCACATGACTGAGCTCTCCCTCTCGGTGCTTTTACATTGACCTGTCAGAGTAGACTTGCAGTGAACACAGATATCACATCAAGTCATCCAACACATGTCCCTTTTAAGTGAGTTGGATAAGAACCAACAAATGGAGAAGTCATAAACAAAGAAACATGCTACCCAAGGATTTTCAATGGATTAGCAGAGCTTTTCATACAGAAACCTCAGTCTCTCGGGTGGAACGAGTTATACAAGAGTGTATGAGAATCAGAAAATTGACTCTCATCCCAGCTGATACTAATACTGTCTGACAAGAGATTCAGGAGAACATTGTAGAGTCTAAACTTTTCATCATCTCAATGAAGTACTCCTCAATTTCAGAGCTCCAAGAAGTAACACATTTTTATACCTAGGATAAAAAGATTTAGGAAAGAGAAACCCAGCATCCAGCCTCATTTCTGTCAGTGATTCACTCATTGTGTTGGGCGGTGGTGAGCCAGAATTGTCTAATCTCTGTTTCTGATTTCTCTCTTCACTGGCATCAGAGGATTTCACTGCAGAGAAACTAATATCTGACTGAGCTCCAAGTGTGAAATAAGAGCATTCCACATTCATTCCAGGCCACCAAGAGGTTTGGGGTCACCAAGTCACAGACTATGAGTTTGAACAGCTGATTTTTTTTGCAAGTGACTGCATGAACAAAGCAAAACTCAGAAAATACATAAAGATGGAAACTAGGAATTTCTCATTTGAATTATTTAACATGCCTAACTCTGATGGTTCTGAATATAGAAGAATCATAGGCCCTTCATTAGAGTGAAATTAAGTTACTGAGTTTAGTTTTTTGGCCACACTAGAATAGAAAGCACGATCACTAATATTTTCAAGGCACCAGGTTAAATGCCTGATTTTTTGGCAAAATATTTTTGTTGTTTTTATTGTTTCTGTGTGTAGGCAGTTAATACCATATAAAAATCCAATCAAATCACCAATTCAACACTGCCTACTTCTGACTTAGTTTTATTCTAGCAATACTCCAGAATTTAGTGAAAATCCTCTATGTGCCAAGAACTACATGAGGCACTGGGAATATAATAATCAATAAGGTATTGTGCCTGGATTCAAGGTATCTTCAACATCATTTGGCCAGTTTCATTACATGTTTATATGTTCGAATTACCAGAGCACTTAGCTCGAACCAAGGGCTCATATAAGAGTTTGAAGAGATCTTGGCTGAGCTCAGTCTTAAATTATTTGGGGTAAGTGTAAACATTTTCAAATTAGAATTTAGTGCCCACTAAAATTCTTGAGCTTTCTTCATATGTTTTCCTTCTAAGCGCCCAGCTTGAGAACTTGTGTCTTTACTAGATTCAGTCCATCATTTAGTCTCAAAACAGCAGTGCCATCTCTCTCAGGTGAATACCAAATTCCAAGGAAGAATAGCAACTTCTTCCTTGATCCAGGTCTTGAATATGAATACTGAACAGGACAAGCCAGATGTCAGACCCCCAAGAAACTTCTATCCAGGTTTCCCTCAATCTCTTAGTAACTATTATAATCAAGGTTAACTTATTTTTTGCTGATTGTGACACTTAAGCTCACCTTCAACTCAAGGGAGAATTTAAGGATCACTGAAGCTGGACTTCCCACTTTCTTATATCTGATGACACTGGCCATACAGTGGCTCAGTAATTCCTGGTTTCTAGGAACGAGAAACTGGAGCAGAATCCACAAATTGGAATTTATTAGTAGCTAAACAGTTGCATCAGTTGATCAAGATAGGAAAGATGGGGGAAAGAGGTGGGAACAGAAATATACATATAATATATATATATATATATAGCATGTTATTATGTCCAAGTTCCTACATTAAGTACTTTATATTTAGTTTTTATTCAAACTCAAAAGATACATATCTTGGCTATTGTAAATAATGTTGCAATGAGCATGGGGGTGCTTACATCTTTTCTAATTAATGTTTTCATTTCTTACAGATAAATACCCAAAAGAAGAATTGCTGGATCATACAGTAGTTCTGTTTTTAATATTTTGAGGACCCCTCTATACTGTTTTCCATAAGGGAGTCAAAGGGTACAAACCTCCAGCCAGAACATAAGCAAAGGAGATGTAATATACAATGTGGTGGCTATAGTTAATAGTTCCACACTGCATATCTGAAAGTTGCTAGGAGAGCAAATCTTAAAAGTTCTCATCATAAGTCAAAAAATTTTGTAGTAAGTATGTATGTTGATAGATAGTACCTAGGCTTATAGTGATCATTTCACAGTGTATACAAATAACGAATTATTATGATGTACACCTGAAACTAATACAATGTGATTTGCCAATACCTCAATAAAAAAAACAAAAGTTATCAATGTTTCCATCCTACTAATAAGACTTAGGTTAAATGATTTGCCTGAGCCAGAACTGAGGCAATATTTGAGCCAAATGTTATTTCCATTATGTTTCATCCTCTTCCTAGCTAACACAGCTTGCTTTTTCCTATCTGACTCAACTCAAGTACCCATCACCCTTCACCAGTTTTTAAACCAAGGAAAGAAATCATACAATGAATTACGATACTTGACATAGGCCTTTTACCAATTATTGACTTAAAGAAAATGTGACTTGGATATGAGACGCCTAGTCAATTTTTTCTTGACAGAGTATTTAGAATTGACCTTGTTGTACTTAATTCTCACATATCCATATGCTGTGGACTGAACTATGTCCCCCTCAAAAACTCACATTTTGAAGCCCCAATTCCTGGTGGATGGCCTTATCCGAAAGGATTGGTGGCCTTAAAAGAAAAGGCCTCCCTCTTTTCTCCCTATCTACACACACACACGGGCACACACACACACACACACCTACTGCGTTAGGACACAGAAAGAAGATGGGCATCTGCAAACCAGGAAGAGAGCCCTCACCAGAAACTGCCCATGCTCATACCCTGATCTCAGAGTTTCAGCCTTCAGAACTCTGGAAAAATTAATTTCTATTGTTTTTTTGTTTTTCATTGTTGTTATGGCAGCTCAAGCAAACAGATAAAGGAAGTAGGACTATTCTGTAAGAACAGACTATGAAATTCAAAGGAGTCATTAGGACATGCAGTGAGTGAACTGGTTATTCCAAAGATTTACTTGCTAAATCCTAGTGTAGAGCTCCAACCACTATGGCATACAGTTTACTTTCCCACAGGTATGCCACAGCCTACCATTCCAAAAAGATCAAGGAATAAAGAGTGAATAATCAGGCAGTCCAACAGTCCTATACCAGACAAATGGGCATGACTCTGTGGTCAGGCATGTGGTGCAACATCTGCCACTGACACATAAGTGCTAATCCTGCTTAGTCCTTTCCTTGGGAACAAGGAATGGCTACAGATGTTTCCCTAACAGGTATATTTATTTCCCCTATGTGGTTTTCTAGACACGTCACAGTTCTCACTGAGTCACCCTTTCTATTCAGGCAAAGGAGGAAAATGAGACAGCTGCCTAAATAATTTAATTAATTTGATATTACTTGGTTGCTTCTGGTATGCTTAAATGTAAGTTTGGCAGGTAGTGGAGAAATAAGAGAAATAATTAAATGCTGAAAACTGCATGTTTCTGGAACCCTTTAGGGTGGTTGAATTATTTACTACTTTTGTGCTTTTAGTGTGCTTCTTGAGTAACATAATCAGGACAGGATAACATGCATTATATTCCCTGAATAATAGATCAGCAGGTGGAAGCTTGAGAGGTAGAGCAATATTGCTGCAATGAGCACACTATTAGAGCTCAAACTTGACTATTGAATTCATAGTCTTAGATTAAATCCTTAACCTATCACCTCAATGCATTCTGCCAAGAAATTTTAGTACCTAACCTTTTTCATGAATACAGTAAAAAAAAAATACTAGCAATTTTTAACCTAAAGCCATGTGATTTTCATTTCTCATATGTAACTAATTCATAGTTAATTAATAAATGCAGATATCTGTGTCTTTAAATCATCATGTATAAGAATACAACCTCCTACAAACACTGAATTAAAAATGCTCACATATCTCCAGACCCTTTATAAACAGTAATGCAGGATGGTGAAAAGTCGTATGTAACCCAAATAACAGGTAGGACTCCATGTAATTCCATCTAAACATGGAATTGCATTCAAAGAGAATAGTCTGCCAAGTATAAGTAAAATCAGTCAAATTTTTACTTATATTTCACAAAGAATGACAAATTGAAGGAACATGTACCCTTAATGCAAAAAAAAAACCATCTTGAAATTATGCTTCCAATTTTGGACTGTGCTTATATTCTGCTTGTCCATTATCTATTTCTATATTCATGTGACCCTACAACCTCACTTTTCACAGACATAGCAAATGTGATTTGTAAGTGATATTTATCTAGATTCCCAGAGAAGTTGCAGTCCAAGAGAACTCCTTCCTTAAGAAAATAAGACAATTTTAATACCTCTCCTCTATAGCCTGTGAA